TGAGGCATTTTACAGCCATGACAGGAAACAGCAATGTCAGCAGTGGTGTCATCTTTGGACACTGAGGACAGGGATTCGGTGCCATGAACGGTCAGTTAAACTGTAATTGGAGTGAACTGTTCTTCTGCAAACCATAATGTTCTTTAGCTACAGCCAAATGGCAGTCAAGAAGGGGAGAACATTTTTTGAAATGTCAAAGAAACTATTTCCAATTTGGTGCTCACAACCAGAGATTCTAATGATCAGTGGAAATGAGAAGCAAACAAATTAGCACTAATGGAAAATGGCTTTTGGAAAAGAGGATTTAATTTATAGTCAACTGATCATGGCATGCAGTGAGCAGTAAAAGTCGGCTCCACCAGCTTGATCATAAGAACTGCAGCTCACATGGAGGGCCAGAGAGAAAAATGCGCTTGCCACCATGCTTGCTGGACTCTCTCTTTAAGTGGCAGCCAATTAGTCATTATTTTACCTTGGAGAGAAAATGGAATGAAAAACCAGAGCACATGAAATTAAAATCCAGATTAGGAACCTCAGTCCAAATTGGTTTATTTGTGGCCCTTTAACCTTGGCGAGATCGTCTGCAAGGACGGCAAACCTACTTAGTCTCCAGCCCAGAGTGGACTCTTTGTTTTTCATTTCCTCTCCATCTTCAGAGGTGATTAATAAATCTGGATTCATCCATAAATCATTTCTATAGCAGCCAAATGGACTTCTTTCATGCAGGTTAAACTAAAATTGCAAAATCTCAAAAACCTCAGCTCCTTAGAAACAAGGGGAGGGGCTAAAAATCCGAGGTCAATTAATCTTGTTTCTAAAATAAAATTTCCCGGAGGGCGTTTCCCCCATAAGTCAAAAAGACAAGTTTCTGAACGCAGAAAGCTCCTCAGGCCCGGGTGACCAGGCTGGCTGTCTCCCCAGATGGCCTCAGAGACAACAAGGCAGCCACTGTCTCCTGTTCCTGCAGGTCTCAGGTGTAGAATGAGACAGAGGCCTTCTCCCTGGCCTCTCTATTCTGAGATAGACACAGTCATGTGTCACTTACTGGTGGGAACAGGGGCAGTGAGTGTCAAGGCCTACCATATTATTGCACACTGCTGAGGACTTACAAACACTGGATACTTAGGCTGCACTAAATTTACCCATTTTGTCTTTTACCAATAGTAAATTAACCTTAGCTTACTGTAATTTTTTTATTTTATAAATTATTTTAACTTTCTTTTTTCAAAACATACTTATTTATTTGAAAGTCAGGTGGGGCCAGCACTGTGACATAGTGGGTAAAGCCACCGCCTGCAGTGCCAGCATCCCATATGGGTACCAGTTCGAGTCCCAGCTGCTCCACTTCGGATCCAGCTCTCTGCTGTGGCATGGGAAATCAGTAGAAGATGGCCCAAGCTCTTGGGCCCCTGCACCCGCATGGGAGACCTGGAAGAAGCTCCTGGCTCCTGGCTTCGGATCGGCACAGCTCCGGCCATTGCGGCCAATTGGGAAGTGAACCATTGGATGGAAGACCTCTCTTTCTCTCTCTCTCTCTCTGCCTCTCCTTCTCTGTGTAACTCTAACTTTCAAATAAATAAATAAATCTTAAAAAAAAAAAGAAGAAAGTCAGAGTTATGGGGGGAGGGTGGCGGTGAAGAGGGTGAGGGAGAGACAGAAATCTTCTATCTGCTGGTTCACTCCGCAAATGGCTGCAACACCCGGAGATGGGCTGGTCTGAAGCCAGGAGCCAGCTGCTTCTTCTGGGTTTCCTTTGTGGGTGCAGGGGCTCAAGGACTTGGGTCATCTTCTGCTGCTTTCCCAGGCTCATTAGCAGGGAGCAGGATCAGAAGTGGAGTAGCCAGGATTCATACCAGCACCCATATGGGATGCTGGCGCTGCGGGCAGCAGTTTTACCTGCTACATCACAGCACGAGCCCCTAACCTGTTTTGTAACAACAGCTTATAACAAACAGGGAACCAAGGTTGAGATGTAGTAGCTAAAGCCACCCACTGTCTATGATGCCAGCATTCCACATAGGCACTTGTTCAAGTCCTGGCTGGTCCTCTTCCGATCCAGCTCCCTGCTAATGTGTCTGTGAAAGGCAGTGGAGGATGGTCCAAGTGCCTGGGCCCCTGCCATCCATGTGGGAGACCTGGATGAAACTCCTGGCTTTGGCCTGGCCCTGCACTGGAAGATGAGGTCATCTGGGGAGCAAACCAGCAGATGGAAGATCTCTCTCTCTCATATAACTCTATTAAATAACAAAGTAAATAATAAATCTTTTTAAAAAATCATAAAAACAGTCCCTTATTCTATAAACTCTTTTCTATTTTATAATTTTTTTCATTATTTCAACTTTCAGGTTAAAAATGAAGACATGAAGACCCATGTTAGCCTAGGCCTACACAGGGTCAGGATCATCAGTGTCACAGACTTCTACCTCCACCTGCTGTCCCACTGGGAGGTCTTCAGGGATCGTAACACTCAGGGAGGTGTCATCTCCTCCGTAACAATGTCTTCTGGACACCTCCTTGTCCTTGAGGAGCAGTCACTCTTTGCAGAAAGGTGGTGGATTGCTTGGGCTGTTTCTGCTTTTCATCTCAGATCTGCTGGGAAGCACACAGGCACCAGGAACATCCCTTTCTGTGAATGAAAACCTTCCAGGACTGGGGTGAGGTTTCTACACTTCAAGAGTTTGTTGAGGTCTGCAACAGCCTCTGCTAAACCCTTCACAGGCATTTTCTTGAGGGTTCTTCTTCTGTGATTTCATTGTATCATGTGTCTACTTCAGCCGACACATTCTCCAGGAGACGGGAATGCTTCAGCCCCACTACAACCTTAGAGGACCACTGCGGTGGATGTGGCTTGTTGTTGACCAAAACGTCACGACTAGGTGGGAACTTTCTCCCGGACACGCTTCCGGCCCAGCCGCTGTCTTCACCTTGTCTCCCTCCAATTTGTCACTTCCTTCTCATGGATCCCCTTCTTCTCCCACTCACACCCTCGTCACTGCCCCTACTGATTCCATCTGTCCCCAACTTCCCCCCACATCTGCCACTTCCCTCCATCCTCTCCCCATTGACCTTTCCCTCATCACCTTCCTGCAAAACTGTCTGCCCTCTCCCCAGACTTACCCGCCTTCCCTAGCCACAGACCCCACTTTCCCTCTCTCTACTCCACACACCTACCCCCATGCGCACCCACAAAATGTAACTCCGCAGATGAGTTAGATTTTACGCACACCTGCCTCACTCCTTTACGGCTCCATGCTTCACCATGCTCGACTCATTTCCTATCCTTCCTTCTCTTCTTAACCTTCTCATTTTGCCCTGGAAAACTCATTTCCGATTAGCTAAGTCTCCCCCATCCTCAGTTTCTCCAGTCACTCTGCCCACCTCCAGCCTCTGCCCAAAGCTGGCTTGACTTCAGGACTCCGCTCCTACATAGCCCTCCCTGGTGGACACTGCTTACATTCTTATACCCCAAGCATCTCAGGGCTGGGAGGTGGGTAGCATCTCCTCACCAAACCTTAACCCTGTTCCTTACTCACCTCCTTGTGAGAGCCCTTGCTATGTCAAGGGTCATGGCAATTCATTCAGTGTAAAAATCTTTGCCCTTCCTCATGCTGTCATCTAGAGACCCCAGAACAACCCGCTTTATTCATCAGACATTGGTACTCAATGGACGAACATGCTCTTCCTGCCTTGAGTCCTGCCATCACCCAGGGGAATTTCAATGGCCAGGTCAGCATCCTGTCTCCTTTACTCCACTTTGGCCACTCACCCCCATGCCCCACCCTGGGCCTTTTGTCAGCACCTGAAATTACTCACGCCTCATGGCTCTGTGATGTAGGAAGTTAGAAATCCACCTACGTGTGTGAGAGGGACCTAAGGAAAACAAAGCATCAGCAGAAGCTTGGAGGCTCACCTTGCAAGCAGCCCTGTACTTCACACTACAAAGTCCTAGCCATATCCTGAGACGTTTACAGGTGGTCTTGGCATCCCCCCAAAGAGAGCGCCCCAGAAGACTCCTCTCTACTCAGCACCAAATTAGTTACTTAGTCTGATAACACTGAGCAATAAAACCTCACACCTTCCCCTAAGGAAGGTACCCAAGGGGAAGCTCCTCTGCCCAGGGCCAGGTAGGCTACCCAGTCTGATAGAGAAACCTTGGGAACAATTTCAACTACTTCACACTCAGCAAACTCTTTGTCCTGGAGGAGGAGGAGGAGGGGAAGGAGATACGGCAGCAAGAACTGGACCCCATTCCCTTATAAACCCCAGTCTGAACACAGACTCTCGGCATTTTTCTGAGTTGCCCGCCTGGCCTGCAGGTGTATTCTCTCCATTAAGCCATGTAACCTTGCTTCCCCCAGTCTGAGTGACTGGGTACTCTCTGCTTCTGTCTGGAGAGGTGCCCGTCCATTCTGATGGATGCTCTATCCCATTATACCTTGCTACCTTGCTTACCACTGTTCTCTGTCTCATATCTGAATTCTTTCTTGTGTGAAGGCAAGAACCTACTCTACTTATCTCTATTAACAACTCCACTTTTTTTTAAATAAAAGATTTATTTATTTTAAAGGCAGAGTTACAGAGAGGGAGATATGCTGGTTCACTTTTCAAATGGCTACAACAGCTGGAGCTAGGCCAGGCTGAAGCCAGGAGCTAGGAGCCTCTTCTGGGTCTCCCACATGGATGCAGGTGCCCAAGTACCTGGGCCATCTTCTGCTGCTTTCCCAGGCAGATTAGCAGGGAGCTGGATCAGAACTGGAGCAGCCAAGAATCAAACTGTTGCCCACATGGGATGCTGGCATCGCATGCGGCGGCTTAACTGCTGCACCAGAATGCAAGCCCATGACTGTTCTTTCTGCTCACAACTCACTCATTCAACTATTTCCATGTTGGACTCTGACTTCATTGAGACATCTAGTCTGCAATACTTTTTCACTCTCCTATCCAGGCTACGTTTGAAAGCCCATCACTTAACCACTCTTTTGCTAATATCCTCCGCTTACTTGTTCTTTGTCCTTCTACTGCATTCTCCTGGTAAAACCCAAACTTGGATCAATTCAACAAACCTCTCCGTGCCCATCATTAGGTGGCTGATGCTGTTAGGGGAAAAATGCATATTATACAACCATGTAGACTACTGGTGTTATGAATTAATGGTCACCAACTTCAACAGGGCCATTACAACTGCCCTCAAATCTGTGTGCTACCTTAAGTCATCTCCTTCCCATTTTCACTGCTGCTGTTTCAACCTCTCTGCTCTTTCCAACCTGGCACATCACCTCTAATCTCATCCTCACTGCCTGATACCATGTCCCCATTTCACAAAGAAAATAGAAATCACCAAACAAGAATTGCCTCAACTTCCTGCCACCAAATCTACTAACATACTAATATCAATATACATGTTACCCTTCTGCCACAATGCACATGTCCTTCCAACTTTTCTTTTTAATTTTTGTTTGAGAGAGACAGAGAGAGACAGACAGAGAGGGACTTTCCAAATGTCTGCAACAGCCAGGGCTGGGCCAGACCAAAATCAGGAGCCATGAACTCCATCTGGGTTTTCCACATAGGTGGCATGGACCCAAGTTCTTGTATCACCTGATGCCTCCTCCTAAGGTGCACATTAGCAGGAAGCTGGATCAGAAGTGGAGCTACCACTGTAACCCAAGACTCTTTCCATATGGGATGTGGGCATCCCAAACATTGTCATAACAGCTGCACCAAATGGTTCCCTCCCCCTTTTAAGTGGATCTCTCCTCCAACACTTTGGATCTCCTATCTTAGGCCTTATTTTTTATTTATTTGCAAGACAGAGTTACAGGGAAGAGAGGCAGAGATAGAGAGAGAGAGAGAGAGATAGATGTTTCCATCTGCTGACTCACTCCCGAAATAGCTGCAACAGCAGGAGCTGGGCCTATCCAAAGCCAGGAGCCAGAAGCTTCTTCTAGGTTTTCCTTGAGGGCACAGAGAGCTCGATCAGAAGTGCAGCAGGAGCCAGTGTGGTGGCATAGCCAGTAACCAGCATCCCCTGTGGGTGTGGGTTCGAGTCCAGGCTGTTCCTCTTCTGATTCAGCTCTCTGGTATGGCCTGGGAAAGCAGCGGTAGATGGCCTGAGTGCTTGGGCCCCACACCCATGTAGGAGACCTGTAAGAAGCTCCTGGCTCCTGGCTTTGGATCATCCCAGTTCTGGCCTTTGCAGCCATTTGGGGGAGTGAACCAGCTGATGGAAGACCTCTGTCTCTCCCTCTCTGTCTGTAACTCTATCTCTCAAAAAAAAAAAAAAAAAAAAGTGGAGCAGCTGGGACTCGAACTGGCACCCATATGGGATGCCAGCACTGAATGTGGCAGCTTTACCTGCTACGTCACAGCACTGGCCCCTCTTATGCCTTTTTTCAGGGGCACTACTCTCTTAATTATCTTTTTCATGTGTAATTTTATCTTTTTCCTATTTGCTGGATCTATGACAACAGCATTGCTCCCATCTGAATAAAAACACGTCTCCTAGCAACTGTCTTCTCAACTTCTTCCCCTAAATGGCCAAACTTCTCAAAAGTGTATGTACATGCAGTCTTCGCTTTCCATCCACTTCTAAAGCCACTGTAATTTGACCTCTGCTCCCAACACTCCACTGAAACTGCACTTGAATTCACCAACAACTTCCTTGTTTCTAAATCCAGAGTCTTTCAGGTCTTATTTGTTTGATTAGTCATCAGGTTTCAACACTTTGGCTTCTGGAATGTTCCACTGCTGATTATCTTCTTACCATTTTGGTCACTTCATCTCAGCTACCTCTGCAATTCACTCCCCCCCACCCTTTGCCAGACCATTAAACTTGGGGGCTTCTCAGGGCTGTCTCATATATCCTCTTCTCCTCTTACTCTATACGTACTCCCTGGGTAAGCTCAACAAATCTACTTGTGTGGCTGCCATCTGTAAGGCCCTAAAGGCCCCCACATTTCTACCTCCGACCTAGACTTCTCTTGTGAATTCCAGTTGGGCAAATTCAGCTGCCTCCTGGACATTTCTGCTTGGACATTCCTTTGGTACCTTATATTCACCATTCCCAGAACTAAACCCCTCCTAAAAACCCAGAGGACTCTCCTTTGCCCACATCAAGAATCTCTTCATTTTTTCTACTTCTTCTCCACCCCAGTCACCAAGTCCAGCTCTTGCTGGCTATGAGAGTCTAAGAAATCCATTCACTCCTCCCCATTTCATTTACCACTCCATGATTTTTTTTTTTTTTTTGACAGGCAGAGTGGACAGTGAGAGAGAGAGACAGGGAGAAAGGTCTTCCTTCCGTTGGTTCACCCCCCAATGGCCACCGTAGCCGGCACATCGTGCTGATCCGAAGCCAGGAGCCAGGTACTTCTCCTGGTCTCCCATGCGGGTGCAGGGCCCAAGCACTTGGGCCATCCTCCACTGCACTCCCTGGCCACAGCAGAGAGCTGGACTGGAAGAGGAGCAACCGGGACAGAGTCCGGCACTAGAACCTGGTGAATTAGCCTAGTGAGCCGCAGCACTGGCCGAACCACTCCATGATTAATATCATCATAAATAATCCTTCCTCAGCACTGAAATAACTTCTCCAACCCCCAATCCATTCACTGCACTTATTTTTCTAAGATCAAATCTGTTACCTGCTCAAAGCCTTCAGTGACTCTCTGCTATCCTCAGGATAAATCTAAGCCCTTGTTTCACAGGTGTAGAACCCATTGGAAAATTTCTCCCCATCAGCAAGATCTCCCTAAAAGCTCAAAGCTGAGCTTGGCACAAGGATTCCTCTGGATCTGTGCCTAACTGTTCTCTCACGGGTTCACTCACTCTGCTGGCTCTCTTCCTTCACTTTCCCCTTTGGACTCCTCCAAGGAGTCCTCTGCCCTCCCTCCCTCCCTCCACAAGCCGTTCAAGGCTCACCCCACCGCCATAAGCGTTCCTTCTCTCTGATTCTGAGTTCATAAAATTCTTACTCCAGCCAGAGCTGTGGCCCAGTGGGTGGAGCCGCCGCCTGTGATGCCGGGATCCCATGTGGACGCCCCATTTCCCATCCAGCTCTGTTAATGGCCTGAGAAAAGCAGCAGAAGGTGGCCCAAGTGCTTGGGCCGCTGCACCCACGTGAGAGACCTGGATGAAGCTCCAGGCTCCTGGCTGCGGCCTGGCCCAGGCCTGGCTGTTGCAGCCATCTTGGGAGTGAACCAGTGGATGGAAGATCCATCTCTATCTGCCTCTGTCTATTTATAACTTTCAAATAAATTTTTTTAAAAATAAAATCTTTACTCTCCTGTGGTATTTACTCCCTACACACAGAGTTGGCCACGCATGATTTCTCTCCCTCTCCCATTAAGATTTATGGAAGTCAGAGCCAAAAGCTTGAACCTCACCAGAGCCCAGGAACCTGACTAGCCCTATCTCTAGTTCATAATAGGTGCGCTGCAAATACTTGTTAAATGAGTAGATACGTGCAAGAAAGTGGTACCCCTAAGCTCTTGGTGTCCCCCCCCACAAACAGGGTATTCTCTAAAGTCACCAACTGAAGACCGCCTCCCACCCACCAGCCAGAATGTGCCTTGGCCCCACTGGGCGGAGGGTGGGTGGGCGCGCGCCCCCTAGGCCTTGGCATAGTTTTCTACCTACAGCTTTCGGAGCCGCGGCTGGTAAAAGGCAGGCGTAGCTACACAAGTAACTGCCTCACAGGACAAAACGCCGGTTCTGACGAGACCCTTCCCACTCCTGGACTACAGCAACTCACAGCGACTCTTACCTCCACAGCAAGGTGGGGACTCTTCCTGATCGGCGTCCCAGCTGACCAATACCTGATCCAGAACAAGCGAGTCAGCCAATGGCTGTGGGCCAGGGCTAGGGAGGGGCGGGGCATGGTTGCTAGGGCACAGCGGTCGGGTGCGGCAAGAGGCTCTGGGAGAGACTCGGTGGTTGCTAGGGTGGGAGGTCACAGAGCTCAGCTCAGGGATTGGGCAGTGTCGGGGGAGGTGGGTGGTGATTGGGTGGTGCCCAGGAGGCGCCCGGCTGAGGCGCCGGTGCGCGAGCGGGAGTTCCGGCGGGAGGCCCGTGCAGCACCTTCACCATGGCCTCGGCTGAGCTGGACTACACCATCGAGATCCCGGATCAGCCCTTCTGGAGCCAGAGTATGGAACGAGGGTTGGGTCCAGTCGTGGGGAGGGGACCCCGCGAGTCTGTGGGTCGCGAGCGCAGCAGAAGCTCCGCCCCACTCGCGGCCCCGCCCTCTCGCGGCCCGCCCCCTCCCTCATAGGGTCGGCCTAGCCTTTGCGGGGCGCAGAGCCCCGCCCCTTTTGTGAGCCCCGCCCCAGGACGCTCCTCCTTCCGGAGCCTCGCCCCTTCTCTGCGTCAGCAGCTTGGTTGGGCCCTTGTGTCCCTCCAGTCCGGGGTGGGGATTGTGTCTCAGGTCCTGGCCCCGGTTTATCTCGTAGCTGAATGCTGCTGGGGGCAAGGTCCGTCCTGATTCCTCTGTTTGGTATGGGGTTTCCCACTGCCAGGCACCTCGACCTCCGTGGACAGGGGTTCCTGCAGGGGCGGGGGTTCTCAGGGAGCCGGGGACTCAGAAGTCTTAGCCCACCCGTGCACTTTTCTGGGCAGTGGTTACGATAGCAGGCTCTGCAGTCAGGTAGAACTCTGGGAATCCTGACGCCTCCATTTAGTGCCTGGGGGACTTTGGGTAAGCTGCTGGCTTTGAATTTCACCTTCCTCCTCTGCAAAGTGGGGTTGTTGAGGGCGCAACTGATACGATTTGTGTAAGGAAGCCAGCATATGGCCAGGCGCGGAGTAAATTTAGTAATTGGCCTTTAAGATTAGCGTTGTTTCCCCGCTACAGGCATGTCATTAAAGAAAGATGTGTGGGAGGCGCCACAAAACCTCTAAAGCAGGTTTGCATCTATGGCAGCATGAGTAGGTTTGGGGGCCCGGAGAATGGAAAGTTTGGCCTCACTGGGAGTCAGGAGGTTTGCAGCTCCGCGAGTGTGAGCCCAGCGTGTCGCCAGACTTCGTGCCCCCGGCCTCACTGCCAGCAGCCCTGCCTCTGTGTGGCTGCCACAGTGGATCTTCCTAATGTAGAGGTTTTTTGTTTTGTTTTGTTTTGTTTTGTTTTGTTTTGTCTTGTTTTGTTTTGTGACAGGCAGAGTGGACAGTGAGAGAGAGACAGAGAGAAAGGTCTTCCTTTTGCTGGTGGTTAACCCTCCAATGGCCGCCGCGGCCGGCGCGCTGCGGCCGGCGCACCGCGCTGATCCAATGGCAGGAGCAAGGAGCCAGGTGCTTTTCCTGGTCTCCCATGGGGTGCAGGGCCCAAGCACCTGGGCCATCCTCCACTGCACTCCCTGGCCACAGCAGAGAGCTGGCCTGGAAGAGGGGCAACCGGGACAGAATCCGGCGCCCCGACCGGGACTAGAACCCTGTGTGCCGGCGCTGCAAGGCGGAGGATTAGCCTAGTGAGCCGCAGCGCCGGCCCCAGTTGGGGTTTTATCTTGTGGCAGCCCCCAAAGAGCTTGGGATTCTCCATCTACATCTTGCTGCTCTGCCTTTGCTTCTGCTGTTGTCTGTCTGGAAGGCCCTTTGCCCTCCGCTGCCCCACGCTGCCCCTCGCTGATGTCCAGCTTGTCATTCAAGGCGTAGCTCAGATGTTGCCTCCTTTGGAAGAGCCTTCCCGACCCCTCACCTGTGTTCTTGGCTGGAGTCAATGAGAAGGAGGCAGCCCCTGGGTGCCCAAGGAACAGACGGCTGCAGGCCAGCTGCTCTTCCCTGGAGCGGGGTCTCTTGGCCTAGGGCTGTTGGGCTTGTAGAAGTGAAAATACTTTTTGACAGTTTTGGCATCCGCAGATGAAGTGAGTTAATATTGCCCTTGGAGAGCCTTCAGCAGCAAAGGGCTGGGGCAGCCTCCTGCGTGGCCAGGAGGCCAGAGGGGCCTCCCTCCCTGGCCAGCTGGCAGCCTGGGGGCCTTGGTTCGCATTTCTGCCTCTGACCAGCTCCAACTTTGTCCAGTCATCGAACTTCCCCGAGTCTCCGACCCCTTCGCTGGAAGATGGGCTTAATACTAGTGCCTGCCTCGCAGGCTTGTGAGTGTCCACAAGGTAGTGATTGGATGTGTGTGCCCGGCACGGAGCAGGTGCCCTGTCTGGGTGTTTCCTCTGCCAGGGCTCCCCCGGCGGCTTCAGGAAGCTGCGTCTTGGATTTGGAAGAAGTCTCCAGCCCTCTGTCCTGCGAGGCCCCTCTGTTGCTGCCAGACCCTTTCCTGGCAGGGGGCTTCCCCCCAACCTCCTGGCCTGCTGGAGGCAATGGGTTGTGAGAAGGCAGTTCCCCTTCTTCAGCCACCATGGGACTGCCAGTCATTTCTGCTCTGGGTTCAGCATTTGCTGTATCCGGGCCCTGGGCTAGTTTCTGGGGCCTCAGCAGAGGCTCCTGCCAAGCTGCCATCAGGGGAGCTGGATGTGGGGCAGGCGTGAGGCCTTCTCACAGGCGGTATCCAAATGGCGTGGCAGCTGAGTTGTGCTGGGTCTGGCCCAGAGCAGGCTCCCCTCCTCTCTTCGAGAGTGTAGCTCGTGCGTCCTCCAGAGCTTCCACTGCCTCCTTCTCCAATGGCCCCCCGGACAGTGCCTGCCCCAGAGCTGAGCTGGGGTCCTTGGACGCCTCAGAGGGGCTCAGGGCACTGCGAGCTGTCTGCAGGAGCCCACTGCCAGGCTGATGGGACTGCACAGAGAGGGATGGTCTTTGTGGGCTCCAGAGCTTGTCTCTCTTTGGCAATTACTGTTTAATGGCAGGGAAGCATGTAGGGTGGTCATTTTTTTTTTCTAGACTTGCTTTCCCCTCATATTGGAAAATCCAGCCACAGAGCCCAGCACCAGAGGGTGGTGGCTGATGCTGGCACTTAAGTGGCTGTAGGGCAGCTTCGGATGTGGGGTCCTTCAGAGCCCTGGGCTTTGTGGACCAGGCTGGGCACCCCAGGGTTCCCCTGCTGGGAATCCCATCAGCCAGCATCCCTGGCAGCTCTTGCCAAGGGCAGTCTGCCCAGGCCATGGCAGAAGCCTGTCCTTTGCCCTGGAATCTGCCCTCCTCCTCTTTCTTTCTGATCCTGGTCTCTCCTCCTACTCAGCTCTCATTTCATTTCCTTGGGCAGGTTTTCCCCTGTGGCCCTGGAGCACTGTGTTACTGTCATTGCAGTACTGACAGTGTTACTCGCTGCTCTCCGGGCCTGGCAGGGGTAAGGGGCCAAGTGCACTGAATGGAGCCACTTGCAGCACAGGGGGCCCCAGAGAGAGCTGACGTGACATCTCGGGCCCCGGCTGCACTGTCCTCCTTCCACTCAGGAAATGGGCAGCCGGGTCCCACCAGGTCCCCTGATCATAGCCTGCTCAAAGCCACCCGGTTGCTCTCATAGTCAATAAGCATAAAAAAATCACTCATTCTTAGAATTAGTGGGCTGGGACAGGGGTCTTGCTCTTGGAGTAAGCAGAAAGTCTCAAGGGGACTCCGGAGAAGGAGGCCAGGGATTGTAGAGCCCTGGACTTTACTGCAAGCCTTCCCTTTTGCCCACTTGCAAATTAATTAATTTCACCTGTTAATCAAAAACCCTTTCTAAAGCGTCTACTGGAGGTCAGGTGCTGTACTGGGCCCTGGATGCCAGAGCCAGACCTGACGCGCCCTTGGCGGGCCTCCCTTTCTCCGGGTGTCTGTGGTACTTCCACTGTGCACCTTGCCCTGTTCACAAGGCAGGCCCGGCAGGAGCTCCCTTCAGGATTTCATTAATCCTCACCAGCACCTTGTGAAGCAGGGAGAATGCTTAATCCCGCTTTACAGATGAGGAACAGATGCCTGGGGGAGGCGAGGAGTCTTGCCCAAAGTAATCCCAGATTTCGGCTGGGGAGCCTTACTCCAAGGCCGGTGCCTGCAAACACGTCAGTTGCCATTGGGAAGGGTTGCCTGAATGCAATGCCATTTGCAGGAAACAGGGACATGCATAAAGAAAGGGGTGTCCATTCAAGTGTTTTTTATAACAGCAAACAATTGGAAATAGCATCATGTCCAATAATGGGAGACTGGGCCCCATAAATTATGAAACATTCCACAGCCGCTCTGCAGCCACTAAAAATAATGGTGTAGAAATATATAAACTGACAGGGAAAGATGTTCACAATATATTGCTAAACGGAAGAAAGCAGATTACAAACAGTCTGATTCCAATTTTATTGGATATTCATTTTGTACTTTTTCTGCAGTGAGCATGCTTTGCTCCTGCAGTAATAATACTTTCGATTTATTGAACTCTTTCTTTGTGGTAGGTGCCGTGCTAAGCCCGCTCTCGTCATCGTCTTATTTAATGCTTTGTATTACTCTCCCCATTTCCCAGATAAGGAAATTGACACTTGGAGAACTTGCTCAAGGTCGGTGCTACAGTCGCTTAGTGGCAGAGCCAGATTTGAACCCAGACAGGGTTTCATTCATGGTGTCTTAGATACCGTGCTGCTCTACTATGCTGTTATTTTGAAAAAGGGAATTTGAAACAAAACGGTTTGGTTTAAATATAGGAATTGTGAGACTCCAGAAGGCGTGTCTGGGGAGCAGAGGAAATGGAGCATCCTTTCTTTGCATTTTAAAAAGAAAACATAGGTTCTTTGTATTTCAATTCCGGCTTTCGAACCAAAAAGCACAGGCCCTGCGCCTTGTCAGCCCTTCCCTTTGCCATCCCCAAATGCCCCTGGGATGCACACAATCCAATTTATGCCTTATGGCTTGGACCGTGGAACAATGCCGGTGGGGATTCTTGTGTTATGGGTGTCCGTGTCACTTGTTGAGAATTCTGCAGGACAGGGTCTTTGGTGTGCTGCAGAGGTGCCAGGGTGGAGAGGAGCAGCCATGCACTGCCCAGGGGCTCCTGGCACCCTTGACCTCCTCGCCTTCCCCAGTGCTTTTGGCTCTGCTGGACCACTGCCTTGGTCATTGTTAACTCTCATTGCAAAAGTGATGCATATTTGGTGTTAGAAATGGGCAAAATATGAAAAAGAAGTTGCCTTTCATTGCAGAAATAATTGTTATTAATCTTGGTGCGTCTTCTTTGCATAAGTGTGTGTGTGTGTTCGGTTGTGGTACTACCCCCTGCTCAGCTTGCTTTTCCACTTAATGAATTATTGTTATTTTTCTAAATAATAGCATTATTGAGATATAATTCACATACCATAAACTATGCATTTCATTGGCTTTTCATATATTCATAGAATTGTG